ACATAATATTTCCATCATATTCACCTTCCTAAACCCTTTCCTTGTATCTCCACCTCCCCCCCACACACTGGTACCAATCCCCAGACAGGACATGTTTCACCTTCCCATCCTCTGTTTTTGAAAAAAGACATTTTTGTTTGTTCAAGATAGCTACTGGGAGTTTCATTATAACATTTCCATGTATATATGCACTATAACCAGGATTGGTTCATCCCCTCCACTTTTCTCCTTTCTTCTTTAATCCCCTTCTTATGTTGATTTCAACAAGTTTAACAATTCTATTCTATTATAGAAATTACCTCAACCATACTCACCCTCTTTGCTAATCAGAGGACAACTGTAATGAGTATAAAGTGACTGGTGCTCAGTTGAGCAATATGGTAGAGAGATGAATGCCCTTTGGTCCAGATCAAACGGGGAGGAAACAAATAGACTTCCATATAAACTTGTTCTCTCAGGGAAAAAAGTAAACTAGGAAGATCTTCTCCTGAATATAGGGTGATGATATGGGGGGGGGTCTTCCCTTGGCCCATGTTCTTGATGGTATTATGGGGGAAGTCTCCTCAGAATTTGCAACACTGACAAGATCCTCATATTGGTTTGGGGATTGTTTGAAAACATCAAGTTTCTAAATTGAAATATTAACATTAACAAAGAACCAATGGACCCAGGGCCCATGTAGCTACTCAGGAAAAACAAAGAACATGAGTGCACAATTAAATTAAATTGGGACAGCTGGCAAAGAACAAAACAACTAGAAAGACGAACCCTGGACCCAGGCCCATTAGACTACTCAGGAAAAACACTAACTAACATGAGTGCACAATTAAAGTTAAATGCATTTTAAAAGACTGACTCTGGGCAAGATGAACAGGCTTAGTAGGTATACTAAGCCCCTCAAAACTTCATAAAGTAAAACAATTGGATAGATAAAATCAGCATGTTTAAATTGATGAAATTCCCAGTACAAAGAACATTTACCTATAGGAGAAGAACAAAATACTACCAAAACAAAAAACGCACACCTGAAAAAGGGAAAGAGTATGTCTTGTTTGGAAATGAAAAAAAAAATAGTGAACCAAAAAAAATTAAACCCTCAATGGACAGTTAAAGTGAAGATTACTCACATCCAAAGAAGGAATCTGTGAGCTGGAATGTACTATGACCAAGTAACCCTCACCATGATGAAGACTGAAAAGACACGCAAAACAACAGAGGTGAAAACACTTGGACATTAAAGAGGTCGTCCGCCATGATGTTAACAGAGATTCCGAACAGGAAATAAAGAGAGTCAATATTCACATAGATCATTTATGGTTGTGACATTTCCAGAACTGTTGAAAGAAAAGAATCCTCAGATTTGGGAAGTGTGTTGAGTTTAGAAAAAGAAAATTAAAAACACCTAACCTGTTACTACAATTGCAAAGCTTTAAGGAAAAAAAAAATCCATATTAAAGGCAAGCAGAGAGAAAAGAAAGATTACTTATAATGGGATAATGATTCTGAAACCATATTAGATTTTGAAAGACTCCTGCATCTTTAAAGAAACAGAAAACGTTGTCCAACACAAGGTAAATAAGTGTTTAAAATATTTTATTTGTTTTCATTCTCAGTAATCCATGTAAGTGGAGAAAAAGTTTTTTCTCTATATATGTAGTTCACAGCTTTTCAAAATTTCTTCTGTATGATGAGCTTAGGCCTGAGGATGTGCTCTCTGGTTGTGGAGTCAGATGGCAAGAACTCTTAACTGCCAGAAGCTTTATGTATGGCCTTGGACAAGTAGATAATCTCTGTGTATCACTTCCTTCATCTACAAAGTGCTAGCACTTACAGGTTATTGTTATATTTTATGTTTTAAGTGAAATGTTCATGTAAAATGTTTAACATGGCCTAGATTATAGAAAAAATAAATGTCAGGTATTATTATTATAGTTT